TGCCTTATGTTTCTCCTTGAGAGGATTTAGAAAAACAAAACAGTGTTCTTATTTTTTTCCTTAGGAAGGAATAGGGACCATAACCTTTTAAAAGTTGTAATTGGTTCTGAACGGATCATCCAAGAGATATATGTCTGCATCTTGATATAGAGCACGTGCAAGTTGGACTCGTTGCTTCTGCCCACCACTGAGGTTTACACCTCGCTCTCCTATAACAGTGCCGTCACCAAACGGAAGCATCCCAAGGTCCTTTACTAGAAAACACTTTTCAAGTACTTGTTGGTATCTGCATTCATCCATGGCAGATCCAAAGATAATATTTTGTTGTATAGTCCCAGTCTGAATCCATGATGTCTGCGAAACATATGCAATCTTGCCATAAACTTGAACCTGAAAAAAGAAAAACCAAAAAAAAAAAAGTAGTGAAGGTTTGTTGAAAGCGATGAAGTGGGTTCATGGTGGAAGAGAAGGGAGAGGAAACAAAAATATAAATAAGGGCACTTTGGTGAAAAGTTAAAAATTAGATTTTCTTTGTCCAAAGATTCAGTGTTGATTTTCTTTGTCCATAAGAACAAATTTAGAGGAAATAACCAAAATACCCTTTTATATATATACATGTAAACACAGTTTGGCATTCAAACCCTACAACCTGAATGACCAAACATTATTCTCTCTCTCTCTCTCTCTCTCTCTCTCTCTCTCTCTCTCTCCATCTCTGAGTTTCAGCCGTTTCCGTTTGCATCTAGCCGTATCCCACACCCGTACCCGTGTCGTGTCGACACGAGTACCTCTCAAAAACCAGAGAGTCCATGTAACGTAGGTAGCCGACCCCATTTGATGAGAGTTAAAGCTTGGTTTGGTTTGGTTTGATTTATATATAAAAGAAGCCACCTTATTAGGAACTTCTTTCCAAATACTCTTCCAAGGGATAGGATTTCTACTATCAGTTATCAAGGACTTCACAGTAAACCCCCAATCGCTACCCTTCCATCTCATCACATACTCCCTACTCCGAGATACATCTGCCCCATAAAGCAGGTTAAAAAACCCATCCACTGGCACTGCCTCCAATTCCCAATTTTGAACCTGTTGAATAAAACAAAGCTCCCAAACAATCCCTGAATTAGTGATTCTCATATAATCTGACACAAAAGCATTCTTTTTAACTGCAAAGCCATACAATGTACACAAATATTTTGATGGAATATCTTTGTACCACACATTGTGCCAGAATCTTACTCTCCTCCCATTGCCTATGAGAAAACTTGTATGGCCAAAAAAGCTCGACCACCCTATTCTAATCCCCTTCCTCAAGGCCACCCAGTAAGAACTCCTGGCTTCCTTAGTAGACCAAACCCCTATATCTAAACCAAATTCCTATATCTAAACCAAATTTATTATCCACCACCCTCTTCCACAAACATGCATCCTTCAAAGCATGCATACCAGCAAAGTCATTCACCAAGTAATGGTTGATACCATGTAAGTTTGGAGAGAAGAATCTATTACATTCTATTATTCCATAATTATTCCATAATACTCAGATTAGAAACCCCAAAAAGAAAAGATAACAAAAATACACCTAAACGAAGGCTTGGTTTGGCAATATACTACAACAGCCAAAAAGTCAAAGAACTATACAAAAAGGTCAAAATTCTCTTCTCTCTATTTTTTGCACATATTTTTATAAAAAGTCAAAAATTACCCAAACATGCTAATTTTTTTTTCACCTCAAACCACTAAATGATACTTGAATTCATCCTCATTCTACTCCACAAAAAGTTACATTGTAGTTTCTCTAATCTATCTGCCACTGAAGCTGGGATAGTGAAAAGGGATATAAAACAAGTAGGTAAACTAGACAGGGTACCGAGCTTACCCCCATTGGAAAGATACTGTCTCTTCTAAACTAGCCAGGGTACTGTCCTTTTTCATGTATTTATTAGTTTCCATCTTCACGTACTTTGCGAAGTAGAAGAACAAGTGGTTTTGCATCTTTCTTTATCACTTTATTTACTTCTTATTCTTCAGAATTCTTCCACACAAAGGCAAGAACTCGTGTAAATACTTTACATGCTTTATTTAGTAATTCAAACATCACAATTGGGCAAGTACAGCATCCAACAATTTTGTTAAAATTCACCTACTACACACCTACCACTACCACCTACTACACACTCACCTACTTCACCTACTCTCCACCTACTCCTCACCTACTCCATACCTACTGCACTCACCTACTCCATACCTACTACACACTCACCTATTCTCTTCCCACATCCTCTCTTCTATATATAGGAATCATTGTAATATATCAATATATCAATCAATAATACATCATTCATTCTCTATACAATTTTCTTTATACATTGAATTTTAACATGGTATCAGAGCAAGGTTAAGAACTTAGTGATTCCGCTTCACCGGTGGGCGGCAGCCTCGCCTTGGCCGTCCGCCGGACCTCTACACATACCTTCACTCCGCCGTCAAATTTCTTGCTGCTCTCTCTTGAATCCCTTTCCACATATCATACAGAAATGGCACTGCCGTTTAAATTTGGCCCAGAAGGAAATATGTCTCCTCAAGCAGCCCTTGGAAACCCAGATGATCGAAGTTTTAATAACAACTCTATGCGCAGCTCCTCAAGCTATGATGATATTCCGGGTTTGCAACATCTGAAGGATGAAAGGGATACAGCTATGCGACAAACACGGCAACTGCAGCAGGAACTGTCACCCTTCAAGCTCAAACAGAATACCCTCCAGATATGCAATGCAAAGATAAATTTCTCCTACAAAACACAATTGTGGCTTCAGATGCTGATGTCGATGAGCTTCCACAAGATACCTTTAATAAAGACAGTGGAAGGACAATACAAGAATGCAAGCTTAGGGTTGTCTATCTCTCTTTCCCATGTGCACTTTTCTTTTTATTCTACTTTTTGACATACCAACCCATGCATTTACTCTCTCTGAGTTTCAGCCGTTTCCGTTTGCATCTAGCCGTATCCCACACCCGTACCCGTGTCGTGTCGACACGAGTACCTCTCAAAAACCAGAGAGTCCCGACCCCATTTGATGAGAGTTAAAGCTTGGTTTGGTTTGGTTTGATTTATATATAAAAGAAGCCACCTTATTAGGAACTCCTTTCCAAATACTCTTCCAAGGGATAGGATTTCTACTATCAGTTATCAAGGACTTCACAGTAAACCCCCAATCGCTACCCTTCCATCTCATCACATACTCCCTACTCCGAGATACATCTGCCCCATAAAGCAGGTTAAAAAACCCATCCACTGGCACTGCCTCCCATTCCCAATTTTGAACCTGTTGAATAAAACAAAGCTCCCAAACAATCCCTGAATTAGTGATTCTCATATAATCTGACACAAAAGCATTCTTTTTAACTGCAAAGCCATACAATGTACACAAATATTTTGATGGAATATCTTTGTACCACACATTGTGCCAGAATCTTACTCTCCTCCCATTGCCTATGAGAAAACTTGTATGGCCAAAAAAGCTCGACCACCCTATTCTAATCCCCTTCCTCAAGGCCACCCAGTAAGAACTCCTGTCTTCCTTAGTAGACCAAACCCCTATATCTAAACCAAATTCCTATATCTAAACCAAATTTATTATCCACCACCCTCTTCCACAAACATGCATCCTTCAAAGCATGCATACCAGCAAAGTCATTCACCAAGTAATGGTTGATACCATGTAAGTTTGGAGAGAAGAATCTATTACATTCTATTATTCCATAATTATTCCATAATACTCAGATTAGAAACCCCAAAAAGAAAAGATAACAAAAATACACCTAAACGAAGGCTTGGTTTGGCAATATACTACAACAGCCAAAAAGTCAAAGAACTATACAAAAAGGTCAAAATTCTCTTCTCTCTATTTTTTGCACATATTTTTATAAAAAGTCAAAAATTACCCAAACATGCTAATTTTTTTTTCACCTCAAACCACTAAATGATACTTGAATTCATCCTCATTCTACTCCACAAAAAGTTACATTGTAGTTTCTCTAATCTATCTGCCACTGAAGCTGGGATAGTGAAAAGGGATATAAAACAAGTAGGTAAACTAGACAGGGTACCGAGCTTACCCCCATTGGAAAGATACTGTCTCTTCTAAACTAGCCAGGGTACTGTCCTTTTTCATGTATTTATTAGTTTCCATCTTCACGTACTTTGCGAAGTAGAAGAACAAGTGGTTTTGAACCTTTCTTTATCACTTTATTTACTTCTTATTCTTCAGAATTCTTCCACACAAAGGCAAGAACTCGTGTAAATACTTTACATGCTTTATTTAGTAATTCAAACATCACAATTGGGCAAGTACAGCATCCAACGATTTCCACTGATAAACAAATTTTATGGGATCACACTTCTCAAAAGTATATGGTTTGTCATATATTACATAAACATCCAAAAAGTACTGAATCAGTTTAATTCAGATCTAAATAGATGTATAAACCTTTCCCTGTACAATTCATAGTCATGAGCTAAGCACAAGGTCACCATTCTTATTCGACACAATTTTCAATCAAAATGCGGAAGCATTCAACAAAAAAATGCGATATTCAGAAGAAACTGTAAGTCAGGCTGATTTAATATTTCAATATTTTTCTATTTGAAAATCAGCTAGAAGATTAGGGAAGTCAAGCAGATTCAGATGACCAGAAAGATTTTTAAAAAAGAATGCAAAACATAAATTACAGTTTGACCGATAAATAACTGAAGCTTTTGCAAACCTGAAACCAAGAAACCAAAAGCATTTAAATCTCCAGATCATTAAAAAATTAGAACGAATCCTCAGAAATCCTGGAATTTTGCTCTTCTGACATAGGATTAGTTTGACTGAAGGAGGACAATGCCAAAAAGACAGACTGGATGTCATAGCATTTAATACTAGTTATGTCAGTTGAGAGGATCAGTAAGAAGTTAAATTCAGATCATAGATTATGGCTGGATATTGATGCAAGAACCATAACGAAGGCATTCAGTGACACATTGAAATTGCATGAAGAAAAGAAAACCTATAGGTATTCATAAATGCAGCAAGTAGGGCTGAGAGAAGTGCATACTTTCCCCATTCAGGAGGAGGATTCCATGGTGATAGAATCATATCAAACTTGGCATTTGGCAGGCAATTTTTCACAACAAAATATTTTGTTGTGAACCGAGCGACACCAAAATCTTTGTAGTCCCTGTCAAAATCATATATCTGTATAGGCAAAAAAACTTATCAGATACACTTCAGTGGAACCAAGGACTCCCAAAATGAAAGAATTGAATATTATAAAGATATAGATATCAAAGTAATCATGGGGATTTATGGTAGTTATTCAACGAGTTTAAACTGAGCTCTGGACTCAAAATAAGGAAAATTTTCTATATATAATAATATCAAGAAATGCTTACTTATTCAATAACCCACACAAACTCCTAAACAACTGTTAGGACCAAAGGATGTCAATGGAGGAAGACACAGAGGTATGATGTGAGATTTAACACATCAAAGATACAAAAAGACCAGTATTTGTTCAAGTAAATTGATTATGAACATTGGCCATCATATGCAACAAGTCAAGCAATATCTTAAATCTTTCAAGAAGGTTCCCCAATCTGATGTGATGTGCTGTGATAGCATATTTCAGACTCTTTCACCTAGGATAGAGTGATCATTAGTAGTAAAGAGCAAAGTGTGGTTGCGGATAAAACATATTCAGCCGTGCATCTGAATGCAACAAATAACTCTATGGTGCCGGCCAATGTCTGGTTAAGATTTTGAAAGATCTTGGCAATTCTTTGGTTGCCTTAATCTCAAGACTCGTGTCAATCAAAAGATTTGAAGCATCTACATACCTCAACATAGAGATGAAAATGTTATATATTATTGTTTACTCCTTCCCTTTGTTTTTTTTCATTAAATTGGGTCCCAATAATGAAATGTTATTACTATATCCTACATCTTTACCACCCTCATTTTCTTGCTAAAATATTGTTGATAGCCCATAAATTAGTAGCACTACATACTATGACTACATCCCCTCTCACTAGGAGTATCCTCAAGTCAAGTTTTGCACTAGTTTAGACAGTGTCATACCCTATGTAGCACAGGCACGGATGCTGGTATGGCTATGCCGATACGACAAAACTTTAAAAAAAATTGGATATGCTACGGCCGTAAAAAAATATATTTTTACGATTTGTAGAAATGCGTGATATATGACAATTAGAAATCAAATGCAAAAAGTAGTTGAAAGAAGGTACAAACCAGAGTTTAATGCCAACTGAGAGACGGGAGAGATTACACACACACACACAAATTGAAAAGCCCAACCCACACTTCTCCTTAAAACCCAGGTATTAAGGAGAGGGAAACTAAAACCTTATAACCAGCACAAATGGGGCAACTCCAGGCGATGTGGGACACATTCCAACACACTCCTGGACCAAGACATACACTATCCGAACAAATGGCACACCAGTCACAGGCCCAACCAAGTTCTGATACCAAATTGAAAAGTCCAACCCACATTTCTCCTTAAAACCCAAGTATTGAGGAGAGGAAAACTGGAGCCTTGTAACCAGTACAGATGAGGCAATTCCAGGCGATGTGGGACACATTCCAATAACACACATAGAGAAGCTCAACCGATAGAGAGGGATATGATTACTCAATTTGTTAAGACTAAAAAGAACCCTAAATGTTCTCTCAAATTTGTGATATTTGCCAAAATATCATTTATTTTTAGAAATTTTAGAAATAGACACAATATATTTATTCTAGTATCCTTATAATTTAAAAAAATTACATTATGCCTGGATGTACCCACAAAAGTACCTAATATGTAACCATGTCGTACCCACCATTCAAATTTTTTAAAAATGTATCGGATACGTATTTTGCATACCTGGAACATGTACAAGTACCAGATATATACGTGGTACTTGTACAACATAATTTTTGGTTTACCCATGCTTCATAGGTTATACCTCTACAAATTGTATCATGACATAATAATTAGGAACATCATAGCAATGCCAAGTAGCTCTAGTCAGGCTGTGGTACAACACTCAGCCAACATAAAAATAAGATCAGTAGAGGCAATAAGCGAAAATAACAATTTTATGTCCCACTGCTGCAATGCACATGATGCAGATATCATAGAAGTTCTTGATGTAGTCAGCGTAACCAAAAGAACATAGGATCTACTCCAGAGATAATTGTCTGTAAAGTAATCAGATGGCAGCATCTGTCGGAAGTCATACCAAAAATCTTGGCACAAGTCTTTCTGAAGATCTTGATCAGTTTTCACCCGATAATACTAACAACTGACAGCCAATTACCATAATAAAAAAAGGAAAGGAAAACTTACTTCTTCTAATAATTTATAATCAATTATTTAATTATTTAATATTTTAGTGCTGACAGGTAAAAGATCCTAGGTGTCGTTCATCCTTTAAGAGAAAGTAGACAAAAAGGTTCAAATCGAAGACCTTGTTTGTAGAAGCACAAATATAAGGCATCAAGTTTTGTTAGTTAGATACAACTACCTTGATTTATTTGTTGTAATACAACTCAACTCAATTCAATTAAGCTTTTATCCCAATTATTTCATGCATCTCATTTCGCTCCTCTTATCTGTCAAGGGCAACAACTTTCATTAAAACACATGCTATCATGTCTTTTCTTAGCATCTCAATCCACCTTAATCTCAGTATTCTTCTTCCTCTATTTTTTCATAACCAACAACCCGGCCTAGGCTTGAGACCCACCCAAGAACATAAACTTAGGTTCAATAGGCCACCCCAAGTGCAATTCCCTTGAACCTTTTAATGCGAGGACATTCAAACCCTTGCTATTAATGTGTACAACGGAAACAAATATGAACTTGGATGAACCCTCAATGGTTCCCTAAGCACTACCCGTAGTGTGGACAATGCCATTTCCTCTAGTGCAGTCATCACTCTTCGCTGCACAAATTCAAATTACCTTAATCAAATAAAAAAAAAAATTCAGCAACAAGAAAGTCCATTAAAAAGTAAAACGTAAAGTACAATAGGAGGGGCCAAGAAGTCCACCAAAAAGAAAACAAACAAGACATAAATTGAAACAAAACGACCCTTAAAATAGCCTCACATTCTACATACAGCTCTCCAATCCCCAGAAATTAAAAAATGTACTACCCCTTTGAAAGGAGGAGCCACCAAAGTGGCTCTTCCTTTCAAACCCAGTCTGATCCCTACATCTGGTAGAGCCACCCCATTTCCTAAACCTCGAACTTCAAATGTTGATCTTTATAGACCCCACTCGATCCTAACCAATTTTCTCTCACTGTACCTCTAATTATAATAAATACTGATTCTACCATCTCACAATTTTGTCTGTCAGTGACATTATGCCTTTTGGATCCTACCCTTATCAAGAACGACGACTCCCAGAAACTTCCTCCTTCATTAACCTTCTCCGGCAGCTGATGGATCTCTAACTGATGCAAGAATGACGAAAAGACGACTCACCTCCAAAATTTTGCAACACCTCCATCAATTCACCCAACCACTTCATCTCATTCTTCGAAAGCCTGATCGACCTTTGAATGCCTCCTCCTCTTTCAATCAGTAGAAACCAAAGATCTTGGTATTCTCCATCTTCAATCAAATCAAAGGTCTTCCACTGCAATTAGAATATTTGTGTCGCCCCATTAATTTCCTAGTTAAAAACATCTAAGCAGTAAATTAGCTTGGTTTACCATCACAGTTCTAAGCTAATGCCAATTTCTAAAATATACAGCATCACCAATCTCTCCTCCTTATGTCAATCAAGCCTAAAAGGCGAAAAAATTCACTCTTTGGTATTCTTGGCAGTCAAACTTTACTATTCCCCTAACTCTACTAATGTTTAGTTCTACTTATTTAAATATATTCCTTATCTTAACCCTCTTACTTCTAGAGCTTCTCTGCAACCTTCTAATTCAACATTTAATCTTGCTTTAGTTTTATCAACCAAAATAACATTATTAGCAAAACTATATGCACCATGGAACTTCATTTTGAATGTGCCCATCAATTCATCCGTAACTAAGGTAAAAGGATAGAGTTGATGCTGGTCCCTAATGCAAGTACACGACCAATGAGAATTCACTTGTATCTTCTGTGTATATTTACTAAAATCATAACTCCATCATACATATGCTTCATCATGTTAAAAATTTATTTGTGACAGTCCTCTAAAACCCATCATATTATTTTTCTGGCCATCCTATCATAGGTTTTCTGCAAGTCCATAACAATCATGTGAAGATCATTTTTCTTTTCTTTTTGGAGTAATAACTTCCATTTAGTTAAACTCCCAAGCACAAATCTATTTTGATATTCAAAGACTATTGTTTCAAGTAAAAGTCTATGTTCAATCAATCCATCACAAAGTTTCATAATATGACTTGTAAGCTTAATACCATAAAAATTTGAACAACTTTGAATATCTGCTTTATTTTAGTTGTTGATAACAAAATACTTCTTTGCCATTCATTCCAAATTTCTTAGTTTTTATAATTTTGCTAAATGGTTTTGTTAATTAAACATGCTTAGATCCCTTGGACACTTCCAAGCCTTCATAGAAATTCTATCAAGTCCTAAAGACCCTTAATGCATTTTTCACCTCAAAGAAAAATACTTGTTTTTCTACTTGCCCTAAAGTTTCCATATTGTTTTAAAACTAATATAGCTACACTATTGAACAAATTTTCAAAGTTACTTCTCTACATATCATTAATTTCCTATTCATGCACCAAGATCCTTAGACCTTCACTCTTGATATGTTTAAACTTTAAAGCGACTAAAATCTCTAATTTCCGTCCCCTTAATTTAGCAAATTGTATATAATCTTCTCTATCTTTTGTACCTTAATATAAGAAAAGGTTATATGCTTTAAACTTGGCATCTCTTATTCTTCTTTTAACTTTTTCCTTTGTGCATTCACATCTTTCAAAACTTCACTCATTTCTACTATTTTTCCAAATTTTATAACAAGCCCTTTGGTTTTAACTTTAAGTCAGGCTTCCTCATCCCACCACCAAGTTTCCCAGCTATTCATTTAACGCATGCAACCATTCTATTCCACATATTAGTTTTATCTTCTAAATACGATGTTGCTTTTTTTGACAGTTTATCTTTAAACAATTTTAATTCCTTCGTTTTCTACTCACTACTTAGGGTTCTAGCCTCTTCTCCCTTTCTGGGTTGTCTTCTAATATATGTATACATATCTAACACCATAATCAACATCATGCACTCTACTATCTCTTGATTTAACTATACAATTTTTACATGTTACTTCATGTACACTTCTAGAAAAGAAGAAATGTATTAGACTCACATTTGTCCACTTTCAAAGGTAATTAATGATTAGCTCACTTTACAAAATATTTTAGTATGTGATCAAAATGTCATGTCCCTAGCTTCTACCCCATCTCCAAATCTTTCACCATGTAACCGTCTCTCATGCACACTATGATCTTTCCCTACATGGCCATCATAGTCATGTCCAAAAACTTTTTTTTTCTCCATCAAGTATACTCAAGTTAAATTGTCATACTCAACTCAACAAGTCCTAATTGTAATCACTTGAAGTTAGCTACAAGGAACTGTTGTCTAAAATTAAATTTCCATATGTTGCCAAAAATTGGGCATTAATGTGTTTTTCTAGATAAGTTCCTTAAGGTGTCATCTAAACCTATTTGGAATGTATAAGCAACATAATAAAATACGTTAATAAGGTTTATACCTAACATTTTCTATGTTCTATGTTTCTTTCCCATTCGGCTCTCATAAGCATGCTATATTGACTCTCCTTTTAATAGTGTCTCCAAAATCCATATGTTTATACTCCACGTTGCTAACAGAAGCCCGCTATTTGAAATTTTGAAAACTTCTTTAACCCTTGATCATCCATTTCTCACAAGATCCAGGTGCCAACACTACACGTATATTCCGACTCCCATTTGCCCATGTTCCAATTCCCATTTGAGTAAGAAAGACTAGTTTCTAGAAGTAGGCTAGTACACAGAGGAAGTTGTGAATTGGGGCACAAAGATTTAGATGAGAGTAGTGTGGTCCAAGTCGTTGAAGGAAACTCTAAAATTAATGGGAAAAAAAAAATCATATTGTAAAGAATTGAAAATACTATAAAAATGCATGTTGACTAGTCACTGGCGTTCATATCCAAGCACTCCGAGAGAGTTAAATGGTGTCTTCATGAAAGTTGCAACCAGTCACTAACAAGAAACTTCAGTATGTGTCCCCTTTAAAGCATGTCTTGTTTTTTATGAATATAAATGAAGTTTTACTGATTGCAATCCCTTTGTCGATTCAAATCTCTTTAGAATTTCGTTAACAAATAACATCACTTCTTAACTAATGTTGCAAGATGAAACATGGTAAACCATTCCCAGGTACCCCAGTAAGACAGTTTAAAATCTTCATACACTCACCATGTCATTTATCTCAACTTCAGCAATAGATTTACCATCTGCAAACATGCTCCAAACCACTTTGTTAATTTGCACAGAAACACGCATAGCACAGGATGGAGTTTTATTTTTCTCTTTTTCCATAAATCGTAGCTGTGCAGCTTTCTGCAGAGCCATCCTTAAGGAAGAAGCAGCATCCTTTCTTAATTTTTTTACATTCCCAAGCTCTTTATTTAGTCTGTGCACCTGTAGATGTGAAGTTTGTAGTGCTCAGGGTCAAATACATACTAACGAAGTAACAATAAAAACACATGCCAAGACACATATATAATATATGCACATATCTTTCAATGGACCTAGTACAGCAATAAACCTGAAGGTACTACAGATTCCACAATATTTAATTAAGAAGACCAGCAGTTTAGGAAAAGAGAGAAATTTTACAATGCAGCAAACTCCCTGAATGTGCCTCCAAATTTCCAAATTAAGTCCTTTTTTTTTTTTTATCAGCAACAAAAGAAAGTTTTATTAAAATAAGGAAAAGAGAAGATTAAAAAGATACGAGGGAGAACAAGAAGTCCTCAAAAGCAAAAGCCAGCAAACAACTAAGAAAAACACACGGCCTTCCAATCACTAGAAATTAACAAAAGCAGGATTCCCCTAAACAGGAAGCAACTGAGGCCCAAAACGATGCCAGAAATCTTATTCTCTCCCACATAGAACAGACGCCTTATAAGCAGACTCAAGTGGAACAGCAAAAAATCTGTGACCAAAACTCCAAAATTTTGAGACATAACTTCTGCCGAGTGCATTACCGAAACAAGAAACATGCCAGAAGATTCATAAATGCCATTAGAATCCGTATTAAATGATTTTGAAATAAACGACTCCCCAGCCTACTAAACCGCGAGTTACTGTAGGAAAACTGGAGTATCTACGAAACTTCAATAATCAATACCAGAGTGCAGTAGAGTAAATAAAATAAAATAAATCTGAAAAGGAGGTTAGAGCTAGAAAATGTTAAAAGATTTGCTGTAGAGAAAACCCTTACATCACCCCTCAAACTTAGTTTCATGGATGCCTAGTAGCACATAATCTTGGAAATTAACAGTAAGCAGGAAAACATGGAAGTCATTAACAAAAGGTGTAATGGAGTTCAAAATACCAAGCAAGTAAAAAAGCAAGGAAATATGTTACATGCTGAAAGGAGGATTCGGACAAAAATTCACATGGGGTGCTGACCCCACCATGGATATACATTACATCTCACTAAAACAGAATCACAAAAATTAGGACCATCTTGAGAGAGAGGATCCAAGTATAATACAGACTGCATGTGATAGGTTGATACTCCCAGGAGGGCAACAACCACATATACTGACAAGGAACCTGAAGTTAAAAAATTTAACCTAGAAAAAACTAGAAATGCACAACAAATACACCCAATTGAAGAAACATGATGCATAATCTACAAATTGAGAACACAACTGGGATTTGGTTACAGAATGATTGATCATCTATATAATAAATCAATCTCAATGTAATTTGACATGCTATATTGGCATAGTTTCCAACTGGCTTTTTATCTGCATGAAGATAATTTCCTCAAGTTTAATGTGGTTGACTTATTGTCCTATTATTAAGATTGGTATCTGCTTTCACATAGAACCAGTAACAACTAGCAAGAAACAAGCATCACTTTATATTATTAAGGCTTCCAACTTAGAAATACTTCACAGGTTCATCTCTCACCAATATGGACCTTCCACCAGTAATCATCCATAGATCTCCTTCCTTTTCCAGATGTATGGCTCCAGAAGTATCACCATGAGTAGACAATTTCCTAATGTCACCTAGAATCAACTTCCGCTCTCGCTCTTTCTGTTCAAGACTGATTCTTGCAAGTTCTACCTCTTCAACACCATCAGGAACCACCTCATCTGCCTCCTCTTCTACATCTTCATCATCTTCAGCACATTCTATTCCACATATTAGTTTTATCTTCTAAATACGATGTTGCTTTTTTTGACAGTTTATCTTTAAACAATTTTAATTCCTTCGTTTTCTACTCACTACTTAGGGTTCTAGCCTCTTCTCCCTTTCTGGGTTGTCTTCTAATATATGTATACATATCTAACACCATAATCAACATCATGCACTCTACTATCTCTTGATTTAACTATACAATTTTTACATGTTACTTCATGTACACTTCTAGAAAAGAAGAAATGTATTAGACTCACATTTGTCCACTTTCAAAGGTAATTAATGATTAGCTCACTTTACAAAATATTTTAGTATGTGATCAAAATGTCATGTCCCTAGCTTCTACCCCATCTCCAAATCTTTCACCATGTAACCGTCTCTCATGCACACTATGATCT